CGCGCGGAAGACGTACTTTACCAAAGTAGAGATCGCCGTGTTTCAATCCAAAGACGAGATAAGATCTTTTACTCGATTGAGAGAGAATTTGCTATCTTTATCCCTCTTCCCCGCGTACACAAATTACACGCACACATTCAACACACAGATACACACCGCCTTAGTCCCGAGAGAACGTCGACGGTATGAGAAAGTAGTATTCTTCAGAAAGTACATAAGAACACACACACAACACGCATACACACATCATTCTTCGAGATTACAGGATCGCAAAAATTATTTTGCTACAGAGGAACTCCGGGCGTCTCGTACATCGCTGAGAATTCAAAGTAAAGCTAATATTTATAGTATAGGCGACCAAATGAGAAAAGGTGTACAAAAAAAGAAAAAAAGAAAAAAGAAGGGGGATTTGTACAAATTTGTGTGATCGCGAAGATTAATATCCCGGTTGGCACGACGGTGCTGTGTACTTGTACATAGATTAAGACACTTTCTTTTCTTCCTTTCAGAGAATCATATATATCTCACTCCCGCGAAACTCGCTTAAGTTATTTATGTGTGTGTTGCTCTAATGCTCTAAATTATTTATGATGATTTTCATCGGTCATCGTGCGCTAAACTCCACGCTACGAAGAGAGTCCTGATCGCGTTGATTTCCGTCAATCGACGCGGCCGTTTCTTCACGGCACGGGCGTGCCGTGCCGTAAACTATTTATATTGCGGATGTACGGGATGTCTCGCGGAGACGCGGGACATCCCGTGCATGCGCACACATATATAAACATAAATTAAGATATCGTAGGCTAAGAAGACACTTTTGCACACGGTTTACGTTTGATACACACGCATCGCTGAACTGTCGCGATGGGTTACTGACTTAATGATATTCTTTATTATCTTTTGAGAGTTTATCTTATCGAGTAGCGACTGTACGCGTTAAGGATATACTTTAACTCATTAGCTGATGGACAATACTTAAGTATTCGCTGGATTTCTTTTCGCAAAGGGTATAGAATAATATCTTCTAGTTACTCGCCTACTTTTCTCCATTTTTTTCCCTTCTAAGTCATATTGCGTTAACAAATGTACAAAACTCTTCGCTTTCGTAGACGAAAATAATTTGTGAAACATTGCGACGGATTGATCGCAAACGTTGAATGGTGTTTCCTCCACTTGCATACATCTGAATGAGTGTTCTGAGAACAATCGTGCTGGGGAAAAAATGCTGAGACATGAAACTGACATGAACATGAACGTGAATTTGTTAAAGCGTCGTTTAAACAATGCGTAAAACCGAAACCGACTTGGCAGATCTTTACAGTATGTATTGTTTCACGACTGCGAGATTTTTTTTTCGTCACACTCCCTTTCGTTGTACATACACAATAACGATTCTGTTCGCTGTATGCTTTATTTTATAAGTTCGTCATGTTAGTGACATATTTTCTAGTA